TACAGTTTCAAACGTGCTTGTTGTGTGAAGACAAGAAGAAGATATATAGAGAAAATACAACACACCCTTGTTTTCATTGATACAATAAAACTATGAATTAGGAGTTTTTATTTTTTGTCCTTGTTTTGATTAAAAACATTTTTATTTACAATTGTGGTGTTTCAGTTTTTCCGAAGACATGTTTTAATTACAAATATGCATTTGTGCTTATTCTGGTTTCAGATTTATGTGTACTATATGATGAAAAATCATGTTAAAGGAGCCAGCTTTAAAAGACAAATCTAATTTTACACCTCTAAGAAAAACATTCTACTAAAGCTTTGTCGAGAAAAGCTAATACATTTCAAGCTGGAAGTTGGATTAGCTTTTGAAAATCTCAAAAGTTGTAGTCCGAAATGGAAGTGAGAAATTATGTATGTACTTATTTTTGTCCAACTAAATGATAAACAAGTGAATTAGGGAAGACCAGTAAGCTGGAATAATAATTTGACAATGCAGAGGCAGGTCATTTGTCCTTTTGAATTAAGAAGTGAATTCAATGATCATTATTCTTTTACTCTACATTGTTACCAGTTGCTTACCGTAAAGCCTCAAGCTCAGTTGGTTATTGATGCACTCCAGTTTAATTCTCCTAGCCCTTATGTTCATGTAAACTAAAAGGCTAACTTACAGTGATAAAGTTTACTTATGTTCATATTAAGAGGCTAGCCCTTAATAAATCCATTTGCAGACATTTGATAATGAACTAAAAAACTATAGCTTACAGTGAACTTAGAAGGCATTACTCAATGCCTTAATGGTATGAATATAGTTTGAAGAAGTAATCACCGGGTACTAGCAATCATCTTCTACATTATAGAGCAAAGACAGAAACCTCTTCAAGAAAAAATTCACACCAGTGTGAAAATTAAAATTGATTAAAATGTAATAATATTCTCGATACGATATTGTCACTAAATTGCTCTAAGAAGACCATTATGAGTTTTTTCTTTGATTTGAAAGTTCTTAAACTATTTTCAGATGTTAGATGATGAAATATAACATCTGGAAATCAGGGGCTCTTTTTTTTTTCTCCTCTTCTGTAGCTTGCATGTTTCTAAAATTGGTAACCCAGTTTTTACATTGTCACAAATATCATATGAGGTTGAAATGAATAAACTCTAACTCTCCTTAGCTTCTATCTCAGTTTGTAAATTTTTGTACCGAAGTACTTTCTAATTAGATGTTCTCTATAGTTCTACAGCTTAACGCATCCCACAATTTACACATAAAACAAACAGTTAAGAAAAACCAGATGTCTTTCACTTAATCACAAATATTCCCAGAGACATCAATTATTTCATAACGTCAATTTTAAAATACCGGCAACTGGAGCTTTGATGTATTTTTCTCCTTGCTGGAATGTGAGCTTAGACTATAAAAGGGTAGAAAGACCTACAAATTCATTTGCCTGACACCTTGATATGCTCCCTTGTTTGTACATCTAAACTCGCATATTTGATTTACAGGAAGAAATGAGATGCGTGAGCTTAGCTTGGAAGATTTAGTAATCTCAGGTTGGTTTTGTTTTGGAGCAGTCGAGCAGTTTTTGTCGGCGGTAAGTGTTTGTCGGTGAAAAATTGAAGGAAGATGACGTGTCCGTGAGCTGGAATAAAATGGGAGACGTGGCCATTTAATGATCATATTCTTCGTATTATTTATTACTACGTAATAAACTAACGGCTCTTCCCAAAAATTTAATAAACTAACGACGTTAGATAACGGGTCCAAAATTGATAGTTTATGATCTTTCAGGTCCCATATTGATTTGAATTATTTTTAGGTCCAAAATTGACAGTAGACCTAACTTTCAGGTTTTGGACTGATAAAATTCCATTATGTTTCTATTGAAATGCAATAGAAAAAAAAGGACATTGATTTACCTATATATTTACACATGTCATTGACACATTGAAAACGATTACAATGAGCCAATATCTATTGATGAATGTCATTGTAGACATTAATGAATGAAATGAGACAATTCAGGCAGATTTAAAATCCTAAAAAATGATATTTTTGGACCAATAAGTCTACACGCCAAAAGGCGTAAAACACTTGGATCTTAAATGAGGTTTTGTGTGTAAATCAATGAGAAAAATGAAATCACAATATCTAAACCATGTTTATGAGGAAATTAATTTTTCGGCAGTTGATGCAACTACATTAAGTTTTTTAATTGACATGTCAGTTTTTAAATGGTTATAAATGCGCCCAGTGGATGCATTGATCGCATATTTATATGGTTCGCTCGATACAAACATATATATGAAAGTCCCTGGAGAGTTTAACCTACCTGATGATTATAGCTCGAAGTCTCGAGATTCATTTTCCATAAAATTGGAAAAGTAATTATGTTAACTAAAATAACCTAGATGTATGTGGTAATTGTCGTAGTGATTATTTGATCAATGAAGGATATAACATTTATCCCATTAATCCATGAATTTCATTTAGCGATGTCACATAGGACTCGCTATAATTGCAGTGTATGTTGAAGATTTAAATATCAATGGAACTTCTTATGAAAAATAATGCAAAATATCTCATGAAAGATTTTGAAATGAACGGCTTTGGGAGAACAACATTTGATCTTGGCGCTCAAATTGAACATCTGGAAAATGATATTTTTATCCACCAATCGATATACAAGAAAATCTTGAACCCGTTCGATCTTCCATGGTGATTTGTCTTAATATGCACGATGACCCTTTTGGGCCTCATGAAGATGAAGAAGAATGTTTGGTACCGAAATACCATACCTGAGTGAGATTAGAGCACTAATGTATTTGTTTAATAACACTCGATCAGATGTTGCTATTATGTGAATTTATTAGCGAGATACACCTCCCCCCAACAAGAAGACGTCAGAACCGTGTCAACCACATGTTCCATTTTCTCAACGGCACAATCAATCTTGAATTGTATTACAACAATGATGTAAACGTCACATTAGTTGGTTATGTCTACACGTGATACTTGTGTGATGTACAAAAAAGCAAATTTACAAACATGATATATATTCACTTATTGTGATACTGCTATCTCATGGAGATCAATGTGATAACTATTAAGTGCTACATCATCAACCCACATGACATGACTGATTGCTCTTAGTACCACACTTAATAACATGTTAATCCATTATGATTAATTCATTTTTTCCTTCAAGTGAAGTCGACGAGCACTATGTCTCGGTAACACCACTCTATTTTTGACAACTAAATTCCCTAACATTTTCCATTTCCTTATACTTTAATTCCCATGTGAGCACTATGGCAGAGTTTTTTTTGAAAAGTCTACGAGCATCTATTTTTAACCAACAACCATTATTAAAATAAATATGAATTGATAATTATGATTTCAAGATTGCAATTGTGTAATTCACCATTAATTCATAATACAGAGAAAATAAAGTTTTTTCCTGTTAGTATGAGTCATCTCCCTCGACAAATTATGTTCTCAATTGTACAATACTCTCTATACAATCAAGTATTTTATGTTAAAAGAAATGAATATAGCGTTTAAAAGAAATGAGTATTGACATTAAATTATAAAAGAAATGAGTAATGCCATTATATTATAAATATTTTGATGATAATACAGTGATAATGTAGGTAAATGAATAAGTTGATTTGTAGCATGTATATTACGTGTAGATAATGATTATCAATGAGGAAGCGGTCCAGCTCAGCCGGTCTTGGGTTCGAAACTCCAGATGCCCCTGCAGTAAAAAAAAAGTAATGATTCTCAATTGCAAATTTATAATACTCACTTGTTCTACTAATATAGTGATTTAGCACCAATACTCGTTTTTATTCATTAACCATGACATAAAATATACGATTGTACAATGAACATTGTATAACCCAGTATATAATGTACGCTCCCATCTCCTCACCATAATTTACCACTCCTAGAATAACTTTTAGTATTTTGAAAGGAACTTGTGGAATAACTTTATTATTAAGGGGTGCTTGGAACTGATTTTGCTTCTACTTCTCTTTAAAGCAGAATCGGAATCCGTTTTCAGAAGCTGATCTTCTCCATCTTCTTAAAAAACTGATTCTATGAGTAAATTAGAGCACCAAAATCATTTTTGCACTTTTACCCAAATACTCTATCCTCAGGTGTAAGAATAAGACCCAAACACCTCTAAGTGTTCCTGATATAATTTCCCTCCCTCATAGGGATGTCAAAAAAACCCGACCCGCAATGACCCGCCCTGACCCGAGACATTTGGGGCGGGTCCGCCCCGCCCCGTCTTGGAAATGGGGCGGGTCCGCCCCGCCCCGTCTATACAATGGGGCGGGTCCGGGTATTAGAATTGACCCGTGCCGCCCCGACCCGCCCCGACCCGACCCGCTCAATATATAAGTATACATACTTTTTCTTAAATTATACTACAAATATACTTCAACATACATATGTGTGTATACAATAAATCATAAATTCTTTGATCTAATAATATATGAATATATATTAGAATGAGATGAACAATGGATTAGTAATGTCTTCTTTATATATAGAATTTTAATACATATATTCAATTATTAATATAACTAATTAGATTAACTATTCAAGTCTGAGTAATTTTTCCTTAATTTTTGAAATTTTTAACGTATCATGAATTTGATTTAATATATTGATTTTTAATTATTATTTAGAGATAAACTTTATGTAGATTCAATTGGTAACAACTTCCCACAAATAAAAATACATACTAGCTAATTAGATTGCGGCGGGGCGGGGCGGACCCGCCCGCCCCGCATGGGGCAGGTCATGGGTCAACAAGTTTGGACCCGTGCAGGTCACGGGGCGGGGCGGACCCGCCCCGCCAAGTCACGGGGCGGGTCCGGGTCTTGCAATACCCGCCCCGCCCCGACCCATTGCCTACTCCCTCAACATGTGTCCATTTTCCTCCCATTTTATAATAGGAAATATATATGTGCACATTTTTCCCATTTCACGTTTGTAATGTAAGCTAAATTCTAACACATCTTGACAAGGTGAGGCACTGTTATCTCGCGCTTTCAATTGCTGGCTTGACCGGTGTTCGTCCGCGCCGTAGCGACGTAGGGTTTTCCCAGTGAGTTGGCGTCCAGATCCGAGTCTGAGTCTCTTCTCTGAGTCGATTCCGTACGTAAGGATTTCACAATGTTTTGGCGCATGGCGGGGCTCTCTACGGCGTCTCCCGTAAGGCCTCTGGATTCAGTTTCTGTCAATTGTTTGGTTTTCTGTCAAATGTTTTCTTTTTTCAATATAAATTACATTCAACGATCATATATTCCTTGTAACTCTTGGTTCTTCAGTACATATTTTGATTTTCTTTTTGTCGTTGTGGAAATTGAGACTGTATTTGTTGGCTCAGATGTAGTGAATAGTTTTGCAAGTTTTATAGGTATTGAGTTTTGCTGCAATGTAGGTATATTGGGCGGGATCAAAATGAATGTAATTGTCCATTGAGCGGAATTATCTGTTTGGCAATATACCACCATGTTCACTATATAGTTTCATATTACCGTTTTCTATTCTAGGTTGTAGAGAAACATCTAGTCAGATAAGTTCTTCTATAATCACTAGCTAGTAAACAATATGTTTTCATATGAGTGAGGTTTCTGTAAATACATGAAAGACTTCAAAAAATCCTATGGGGGGGGGGATGTAGATTCTAATGCCTATCTTAAAGATAGTATTGACATGCGAGCGGGTGTTACAAATGGTGCACAATAGTATGTCCATATAATCAATTACCATTGTTGATAATACCAAATCAGTGCACCAAAGTACCCAGAGTATGTCTCCACATTTCCACAGAGGCATGTGATGGACCACTTAACTCTCTAAAAGCATCCATAGGTTTTAGGGAATTAGAGTTCTATTTCTTTGCACATGTGTACAGTGTACACAGAGTTTATCAGTGATAGGTAGCATGGTGCGTTCCAGTTGCAACTTAAGTCTCTTACTTGGCATTCCACCTGGGTTCAGCTCTCACGTATAAGATAACTAGATAAGACATCATACATCTAGTCCCCATGCCTCTACCCTTCCCAGAGCTTTTACCAATGTGAGCTCTTGCACCTTATCGGTTTTCTTTAAACAAAGGAAGTGCTGATAGTACAAGTCTATGACATATTGGAGTAACCACATGCCAGGTTCTAATGAAGTTTTCGAAATCGTATCGTGAACAAGAGAACCTTAGGAATAGCGTGCTTACAAATTCTCATCCTGTAGTTCTAATGGTACCTGATTCCTTCTGCTGCACCCTTCACATCCTTAATTCCTTTCTTAATTTAAGTATTTAAAAGTACTCTTAAACAGTTTTATTTTGAATTATTAAATCTACGAGCTCACAATTATAGTGGAAATATATATTACTACCACCGTCCCTAAATAAAGTCCCATTTACTTCAGATAGGAATATCAATAAAATGAATGCTCTGCGGTTGAGATTATCAAGAAGAGGCGAAAATAATATGAACCATATAGTGATTTTCCAGAAGGGGATTTGGGTGGCAATTTTGAGATGGATGAAAATGGAAAGTGCATATATTATTTAGATATGAAAGGAGTAATTTATGTGACTCGGATGGATAAGAGTTTTTTTCAAAGTTCTCACAATACCAGTAAGATGGCATAAAAGCTGATAAGTAGATTATTAGATAGAGTGGTAAACAAGCACATGATGATGGTGATATACATTGTCTTTTCTATTATTATCAAATTACTGAGATAATCTTCCTCATGTGTTATTGGATGCTGTCTGCATCAATCAGCGTATGTGCACAAATGGATATTATTGTGTCATGGGTGTATCCCAATTTCCTGCCATATTTAAAAAAATAGGAAGATGAAGTTTTGTGTGTGTGGCCTGAGGGGATTTTTAAGTTTGTTGGTTTGGAACTATTTCCATAGCTTTCATTTTGAGCACTCTTTTGAAAGTTCAATGGGTGGTAATGTTACATATTACTTCCTGTCTGGTTACATATTTATTTCAGGTGGAGGCAATTTTAGACAAGGAAACTTTCACATTAGAAGAGCTTTTAGACGAGGACGAAATAATACAAGAATGTAAAGCTCTTAATGGGCGCCTTATTAACTAGTAAGCTATGTTTTGCTTGCCATGTTTCCATTTCCAATATAGGCATATAGCTGCTTCCTTGTTCGATATGTTGACCACTTTATTAATCTCTATTTATTAGAGACGTGATGCAACAATTATCTTTGTGTCTTCATTTATAGGGTAGAGTAAGTTTTGCTTGATCTATAACTATAGGTATCAACTGTTATCATGATTCGATAACAGTTTATCATTATTGTGTGATATTCGTTACTTTTGTTTAGGAGGGGCGTTTGGTTCAACTTATCTCAGATTCCCTTGGGAATGTTACGAAGGTAATGTTGGATTACCTTGTTTGGTTAGAGTTATAAGCAATGTTTGAAATTGCGCAATAGAATCAAGGCACGCCTCGTCTATTTCCAGGCTTGTTGCGATTAAAGGTGATACTTTTTTACGCCATAAGAAAGCTTACGCCTTTTAGGTTGAGGCGGAGGATATAAGGCGTACGATACAAATCCCAAAAAGGCTTACACAATAATAGGTCTCCGGATTACATGAAAAGGATGGCCCGAGACGTATTTCAAACTCAACAATTAATTTAATACTCGACCAAAAATACTTCTCTTCTTCTGATTAGCATGTGGCAGTCTACTTCTTCCTCTCTGCTGAGTAATATGTCGTAATTTTTTTGACACCAGCTCTTATGTAAGCTGTGCGCGGTGCGCCTGTCCGCCTATGCTTCTTGCTCTGCGCTGTTCTTATTTGTGTCTTTCTGTCCTTCTGTGTGCGTCGGCATGCTTAAGTAGGGACTAGGGAGATGAGATTTATACAAAGTATATTACTTTGAGTCGGTTCCAAATATCCTTCTGGACATGATATGCCGCAAGTAATATCCTTTTGAGTGGATTCCAGCCGGATTCCATTTTTTAGGATAATGTTTGTTTAGGCTTGAACAGATAAGATAAAGATAAAAAAAGACAAGATAAAAAGATTATAAAAGATAAAATAAAAAAGATAAAAATATTGAAAAAAGATAAAAAGATGAAATGAAATCAGTCCTCCATGTAAATATTCTCTTTCCAATTTGCTTTCTCCAAAGTCATACTCTCATCCAACCCAAGAAGTATCATATAACTCCTGACTCTTCTAATCCACTTCTGCTAGTCTTCCTCTCTCTCTCTCTCCCTCTCTCTCTCCCTCTCTCTCTCCTCCTAACCTCTTCTCCCCACCTCTTAACTCGTCTAACAGATGCATCACTTGTTCTTCTAGCTCATAGACAAACCGCGGCAAATCGAGACTCTCACATCTTATCTTCAATAGATGTTACTCCAACCTTTTGTTCCTCATTCTTTAAGCCGTCTTTTCTAGCATGTCCACACATCTAACACAACATGCGCATCTGAACCACACTCACCTTTTAAATGTGATATTGTTTCACGGTCTAACACTCTACGCCTTACAGTAATGCATGTCTAATTATAAAATTATTCTTTAAAAAAACAGAATGTGGATCCGAATTCAAGAAACAATTAAGAGGATTTAGTGATTTATATAGTACTAGAGACCAAAAACTAGGATTTTCAATATAGTATTAATTTTTGCAGAAAGCTACTATTCAAAAGTTTACTCCACTGCAGAAAATTGTTTGATGGGTGTCCGCAAAAAGGTCTGAAGGCAAGATTACTCGGCGGCAGAGGATGATCCGCCGTTGAACTATGCTTTCCTGATGCTGCTGCCGCCGGCCGCTTCCGTTTCTTCTCATAGCTAACCCCTCTAGACTTTGACTGAAAATCCCGGACGTCCCGGAGGAAGAGCCGACGAGTTCAAGTCCATCTTGCCGTCGTGCTCCTCATAGGCGGCGCGGAGGCGGCAAATTAGCGGGTCAAGGCTTCCCCAAGCTTGCCGGGAGAGGGCAAGGCGCGGGAGGGTTGGGCATCCCGAAGATGGGGCAATTGTGTTTGTGAACTTTAGTCTTCCCGAACTAATCGAGGTAGCGGAGGAACTCGCGGACGTGGGCCCCCGTTGGAGAGAGGGCGATCGAGCATTGGGTACTGTAAGAAGGTGTTCCAGTCGCGGCGCTTCTGGTTCTCGTACCGGCTGAGCTGAGGTGGTGCCAGCTGAGACGGATCAAGGGCGGCAGAGGAGGAGGAAGAGATTGTGAGCGAACCGGCCGACCTGGTCTGGTTGATGATACCAGAATCAAGATTATAATGAAGTGTAGTAGGCACACCTAGATCACATAAAAATCTTGATGCGCTCTTCTATTTCATCCATCCTGTTATGTATTGTGTGAGATGCATCTCCATCTGGTTCACCATGCTTGTAAATTATGGAACCTAGATAACGGGACATATCACTGACATGTATCTCCTTACCATCTAAGGTAGTCCCACTATTACCAATTGAACATTGCTTCTACTTCCACCAAACTTGCACTCCATAGACTCAATCTTGCTTCGACTTGGCCTGGAACCCTTGTTATTCAAAGTTTATCATCATACTTTTGACTTTATTTTAACACTCGATCTTGTCTCATCGATTAACACAATATCGTCACAGGATATATTATGCACCTTGGGCTACATCTTCTTGAATTGACTTCGTGAGTTCATGAGTTCATCCATGACTTAAAAAATCTACCAATAATGAAAATAAAAAGGAAAAATTGAAAATAATAATCCCAACTTGATATGAAGCGGGAAGAGCATGTGGCGGGACCGGGCTTGGGCCCACTTTCGTTGGCCGGTTAGGGGCTGAGTTTTTAATTTAATTAGTTTCAATTATGTTAGTTCTTTTATTATTGCTATTTATTTTATTAGAATTTCCTTAGGTTGGTACGTATGGAATTCTCTTCCCCTTAGGCTTGTGCGCAAGTCTGCTTCCCGATAGGATATGCTAGCTACGTACAATTAATTAATTAGCTTATTGGTTTCCTACTAGAACTTAAATGTTCCTAGTACGATACTAGGATACCATTATTTATACCCACGTAGGGTTATTGATATGAAGTGGGAAGAGCATGTGGCGGGACCGGGCTTGGGCCCACTTTCGTGGGCCGGTTAGGGGATGAGTTTTTAATTTAATTAGTTTCAATTATGTTAGTTCTTTTATTATTGCTATTTATTTTATTAGAATTTCCTTAGGTTGGTACATATGGAATTCTCTTCCCCTTAGGCTTGTGCGCAAGTCTGCTTCCCAATAGGATAGGCTAGCTACGTACAATTAATTAATTAGCTTATTGACAGAGCAGAAGAACGAACAAACTCGTATGAGAGAAGAAGTGACCCGGATAAGGGCCGAACAGGCAGAGCATGGTGGCAAGCTGTCGGAGATCATCACCTCACTAGCGGCGTTGACCCAGGCGATGGTCCCGCCGGTCACACCGAAGAAAGCCGCGGATGACGTGGGTCGAATCCCGGCAACCGAGCTGCATGGAGAAGGCGTGCTGAGCAATCCAAATATAACGCTGCTTCCGTCGTTCGATGGGGGAGACCCAATTGGGTGGATCGCTCGGGTAGAGCAACAGTTCGAATTACACAACACTTTACCGGAAAAGAAGGTGGCTGCCGCGATGGTAGCTATGGAAGGAGGAGCGCTTTACTGGGTGACCTGGCTGAGATCGCGCAGGCCCGGGATGACTTGGGCAGATTTCAAGCAAGCCTTGGTCGACAGATTTGATCCTCGATTTCAAGGGAATAAGTTTGAGCGATTGTCCGGAGTCAGGCAAATTGGGTCTATAAAAGATTACAATATCTTGTTTGTTCAGCTAGCAAGCCAAGTTCTAGGGTTACCCGATGAGCACTATTTAGGATATTACATGAGCGGTCTTAAGGAGATAATCCGAAGCTCGCTGCGATTGCTCCGACCAAACAACTTGGAGATGGCTATGGAATTAGCTCGCGAAGTGGAGTATAATCTGTCCGTCCAAAGTGGAGAAAGTGGTAGCCTGAATTATCATTCATCGGGAGTACGTTCTAGCAGCCTTTTAAGGGCAAACACAGATTCCCCGTTGACTGCCGCTGGTGGCAGCTTACAGGGTTCGGAGGGCAGCTTTGCGAAAGATAGTGGACAACCTCCAGGGACAAAGTCAGGTCTGTCCGGGCAGCCTACGACACGCTCTCAGTTCACTCGACTACCGCCAAAAGAGTTTGCAGAATTGAGGGCGAAAGGATTATGCTTTAGGTGTAAGAAACCATTTACGCCAACACATGATTGCCCCTTTAAGCAGCTGCGAGTAATGTTAGCTGAGGAGGATGAAGAGTTGGACCTAAAGCAGTATGTCTGGAAATTTCAGTTCCCGATCCGCGAGTTTTCAACCTTGAGGACAAGGTTATTTTAAGGGGGATGGATTGATATGAAGCGGGAAGAGCATGTGGCGGGACCGGGCTTGGGCCCACTTTCGTGGGCCGGTTAGGGGCTGAGTTTTTAATTTAATTAGTTTCAATTATGTTAGTTCTTTTATTATTGCTATTTATTTTATTAGAATTTCCTTAGGTTGGTACGTATGGAATTCTCTTCCCCTTAGGCTTGTGCGCAAGTCTGCTTCCCAATAGGATAGGCTAGCTACGTACAATTAATTAATTAGCTTATTGGTTTCCTACTAGAACTTAAATGTTCCTAGTACGATACTAGGATAGCATTATTTATACCCACGTAGGGTTATTCAGTCGGGGGAATAAAAAATTGAGATTTGTTAAGCTAAATTGGCTTGGGCAACGGATTCTTCCGTTGATTATTCTGGGCAACGGTTTACCCCGTTGATTTTATTTTTCTGTTCTTATCACAACTATTGCTGGTCCGCTGATAATAATCCCAACTATTGATTATTTTTGTATAATCCCAAGTATATGGACCATCCGCCAATAATGGTCCATGACCAGATATTACCTCCCATAAAAAGTGAATTTTAAATAGAAATTAAGCGTAAAATTAGAAGTTGGGATTATTTATAGGGATTACTTGTTATCTCTTCTCATCCACTTTAGAAACTACGAGAATTTATTTATAGGGACCATTATTGGCGGAAGGTCCCTAAAGTTGGGATTATTCTGAAATAATCGATAGTTGGGATTATTATGGGCGGACCATCAATGGTTGGGATTATTACTATCAATTTTTCCAAATAAAAAAGGTTGTGATTTATTTTAAGTTCAAACATTTATTTTGATAAATTAAATTTTCATTTTTTATGTTTTTATAGAGTACTGAATAACATTAAAGATGTGTAATATATGGTTCCTAAATTTTGTACAATGGAAAATTTATGACAATGGAGCACTGTACCTATAAATATGGACATTTAGGAACTAGAACAACTAATTACTCACAACTTGAGTTCTTTATTTTGCTTTTGCAATTAACATATTTTATGTTAGCATACAAGCTGTTGGGACGGATTAATGTTAAAAGCTACATACTTTTCTGAGATGTTACTCACTGCAAAACATTCATCCAAAAGATTTTAGAAGCTTTTTAAATAATACAAAAGCTAGAAGGTAAAGACTTATGCCTACCAAACATATACGTAATCTTATAAGCTTGAAAAGCTCTTCTGATGAAATTTCTCTTAAAATAATGATAAAATAGGGTAATAACTATTAGAACCAAAATAGTTGAGGAACAATCAGGAAATGAACGGGAAGATTCGTCTCTTATTCACATTCTTGCTTACTACATTTTCTTGTTGAAATTTGCCAAGTGTATATTCTCTGAGCTGTTTCATTGTGAATTTGTAATCTTCATATTTAAGTATAAAGTACTCGCTCTCATTTCTGTTTGGCTATTTGAAGTTTACGTGAGAGACCTCAAGTGGAACAACTTGTCAGATATATAGTGGAAGATGCTGCTGAAGATGCTGAGAAAAAACGAACATTTAAGTGGGTTAAAAATCTTTCTCTAGCTCAATATCTTGTGAATTTTCATGATCTTGAATATGTTCTTTTCATTTGGGTGAACAGGTTTCCTTTTATAGCTTGTGAAATTTTTACATGTGAGGTTGATATCATTCTCAAAGCCTTAGTTGATGATGAAGAGGTGAAGATTTATTCTTTAACCGATTGCTTCACATAGTTACTCTTATGTGGAGTACTGTTTATAATTAGATTTTAATTTTTGATTGGCAGCTAATGAACCTACTATTTTCGTTTTTGGAACCTGGGCGCCCTCACAGTACTCTGTTGGCTGGTTACTTCAGCAAGGTATTTCATTACTTCCAATAGGGGTATTTTGTCATTTTCTTATTTTCTGAAAATCTAAAGTTGCACAAGGATGGTTGATATCTTTCCCGGGAAGATTAGAGATTGAATCTCTTGTGTTTGGCCTAGTGACTAGTGAGAATCTGAATGCTTTATCTTTTAAGTCATTGTTTGAAATGTTGCATGTGGTTTTCAGACTTAGCATACTTCAGTATGTTTCATGAGTTTTTTGCTTTTAAGAATCTTTATGAGTTCAGGTGTATTGTGTGTGTATTTTTAAATCTTTTCACATTATCCTGGTTTAGCTCTCTATGACTTCGAGACGTTATGGTTTCTTTTTGATGGTGCTATTTGATGATCATGGTTCCATATTCCAGGTTGTTATATGCCTGTTACAGAGGAAGACGGTACCTTTAATGAATTACATACAAGTAAGTTCACATGTTTAATTTATTTGACTAAAGTACATGTTTCTTATTTTTATGAAACAGCACTTGATATGTTGCTCTAAGTTTATTTACAAGTGTGTTTTGATAGACACACTTTTTTACTTTTGCCTCCCTCCTGGTTTGAATATTAGCTATGTTTAAATTATCATTAAAAACTTGGATGACAGATATATACAGAGGATTCCCGGGTTTGGTTTGAGAGTTAATAAGGCTGTACACAGAATTAAAATCATAAGAAGCTAATCTCTGGTCTGGTTCACAGTTTTTTGTCCCTCTCCTAAGTAAATCTCAATCACACAGTTTTTCACTTCTTTAAACTCTTTGCCCAATCAAATTGGGCACCATTTAGAGACGGATGGGGTATCTTTTTCTGTTTTGTTTTAGCTGGGTGCAAATTCAGACACATTTGTGTGTTAATAGAATAATATAAATGTATTAGTAGAAACATATAGTCTCACGATTGACAATGTTTTGTTCTCAACATGATCCTATGTAGCATCTTGAGTTTGACCACCTTGCTTAGCATCTAGGGGGAATATATTTATGTAGTGTGAGAGTTTAGTTTCGGGGGGTGTTTGCTTTATGAATATGTGTTGCATGCTTTTAATAAAAGCACTATAAAATGGTTTGAGCGCACTATAAGCTATTAATAGCGTCAAGATATGGATCTTCTACATTTAAGAGTTTCGTTTATTGTATCCTTATTCGGTTATTCCTCAGGTTTCCTTTGTAGTATTCTGCTGCAATATGTTGTGCTTTTCTTTCTGAACTGCAAAAACTGTAGGAGCCCTTACCTGCTACATGTTTTTGCAAGGCTCTTAAGCTCCCTGTATCGATCTGTTTAGTTTTATGATATTTTCCTCTCAGGGGTTGGTGGGTTGTTCATGCATGACTTTATATGGTGTTTGCCTGATTTTTCCGTTACCAGCATTACCAGTTGCTTTCCTTAAAATTTTAAAACATTTTGCTTTTTAGCTCAGGAGGCACTTATTGCTTTTTATTTTATCATTTTTAAGTATATTCATCCCGTTTTATATTATCTTTTTTATAATAGCTTATTTTTTATCTTTATTTTCTTTCATTTCCTTTTGGTGGTGTTATCATGTATCGATTCATGTTAGCCGACCCCAATATCTTTTGGGACTAAGGCTTGGATGTTGTTGTTGTTGTTGTAGGCACTTATTGCTTTGTTCTTTTGTTGTTTGGCACTTCGTAGGATGCTAATGTAGTTTTTTTTTAATATTTTATTATTGCTACAATGTCTACAAGTTTTTGCTATTCTCTTTTGATAGGCAAGTAATATCTGCTGCTTCTAGTTGACATAAGACAAATACTATGATTTGATGACAATGTTTGATGTTCTTTCAGTGTCATCAAGAGGTTATCAGGAAGTTGGTTGATCTCATTGGAATTACTTCCATCATGGAGGTTTGTAGCTTTAAGATTCATTATGAACTTGTCTCTTGGATACTCTTTGAGGTTCTAAACTTCTAATCCATATTTATGGGCAGGTTTTGATCCGTTTGATCAGTTCCGATGAACACATGTATAGCAACTTTGTGGACTCTATGCAGTGGTTAGGAGATACAGATGTTCTGGAGATGATTGTGGATAAGTTTAGCTCATCAGTACGTTTGTCTCTAATATCATTTACTTTAAATATTGAGTTTGCGAAGCAGACCCATTTCCGGGTCTTATCTTATCAACCTTCCAGCTTTGCAGTTTCCTATATATGCGGATTTCTTCTCTAATTAACATCCTGATGCCTATATACTTGTTGAAATTCATGGTTTGTTTACTTGTATGTGGTTGCTCTGTATGATTTCTTGCGAGTTGCTTTTAGACACATCCTCAGCATATTTTCTTCCCCAGTTGGGAGGTACATATGTAATGGTATCCAAGGTTCGGAATTGCATATTGCATTGTCGTGGCGTTTTTTTAAGATGACATATTGCGTAAGCCTCATTGAGCAGTGAGGCGTATGCCTGATGCGTAATATATACAGACTCATTTAGAAATAAAACAAATTATTCATCAAATGTCATATTAACAAAAATTATAATGAAGTCATAATCCTATCAAAAGTGTCGTCAATTGCTAATATACAATCTTAACTTTACAGAATATTAACAGAAAAATAATATTGACAAAAAATTGACATAATATATTAATATTAAAGTTGAGGTTGATGTTCTTTTCTACAGTTGAAAAGCCATATTTTGACACTCAAAAAGTTTATGTGTGGATTGATTATGTAGGCCAGATTGTGCATAAAGAAAGAATGGGCATATGTATCGTTAGCCTTTTTCCCCTTTTGCCCTTTCAGCTTTATTAAAAGTGAATAAATGGCATTTCTTTCCCCTGCTTTCGAAAAGAGGAGAGTGAATACATGTGATAAATAGGTGATTGATAAAAAAAGAGGTTGAAGTTAATATTAAATATACAAACTGATGGAAAATATTAGTATGCAGAAAGTTAATATACAAGTGATGGTAAACATTAATATGCAGAAAATACTAAAAGTTGGGAAAAAATATTAATAGTTAAACTGAGAAGCTTGAAAGCCTGAAACAGTATCGCAGAAGAGGAAAGAAGGTTGTCAGCTTGGGACACCTGTGATGCGCAGATGAAGATGCAGCCACACAGATCTATGTCACGAAGGGGTAAGCAGAAGCACAGGACAGTTGGAGACTTGAAGTTGTGATAGGAGTAATACTGTAATACTAATTGCGTACTATTAAAAATAAAAAAGTGAGCCCAATCGGCCCAAAAAGACCCTTAACTTCCTATTGTAAACGCCTCAAGGCGCCCCGTTGCGTACTGAAGATTGCATACGCATCTGCGCCATATAGCGTACACTACATAGCCTGCGCCGTACTACATAAAATGGGCTAGGCACTTAGGCATGCCCCTTGGCATAATTGCTTCGTGAAATTACAAACAATGATGGATCTACTCTCGGTTTTTGGTGGATAGAAGATGACACCCTCGGTAGCAGAGTTGGTGCTTTTGATGGAGGAATGTTCCGTCTTGAGTTTCATTACCTCTTATTCTCCTTTTGAAACGAAGGCAAAGGGGCATGTTGTATCCCTTCTGGCACTGCATAAGTTTTTCTCATTGGCTATGAATACATTTTGTTCTATCTTTGAAGTGAGTCAGAATACCCTTTCTAAAGTGTTTATTTTGCAGGACTGTCCGGAAGTGCATGCTAATGCAGCAGAAATGTTGTGTGCTATAACTAGATATGCCCCTCCTGGGTTATCTGCCAAGATCTCCAGTCCTAGGTAGTATTCTCTGTTAATATGATTTATTCTATCCAGTTTCGTTATTGTTATATGAGTATTCTGGTAATGAAGTATAAACCTATATACATTGTGCCTTGCACAGTTTCATTGGAAGATTATTTCGCCATGCTTTGGAGGGATCACGACCAAAATCTGTCTTGGTCAATTCATTATCTATATGCATATCATTGTTAGACCCTAAAAGGCTAACCTCAGGAACATATTATTTTTTCAATCGCCAATCTACTCAAGGAACTGGGCTAGCTGCTAATCCCAAGACTGTTGAAGGCATGCTAGAAAGCCTAGGTATGCTCGCATCATTTTGTGAGTTATGCAATTATATGGTTACTTGTATAGTTGTATCCTTAGTTTTACATACTTTAGCTAAAAGAATGAAGAAATGAAAGTTGTAGATTGTACAAAGAACAACTCTTTTAGTTGTTATTTAGCTATAATCATATACTTTGGATGGTTCCGTCCATTAGGTAGAAATAAATGCGACATTTTTCTCACAATGTATTTCAGCTTGTGGACAGTGCAATTTATTGTGGAACTCTGTGCATTTGATAATTTCATTTTTGAACTATTAGTTCTGCATATCATCTTGGTACCACCTTGAAATGTTTTAGACATGCCTTTTGACTTGGGTGGATAGATAGGGGTGGCTGTATTGGAAGAAAGTCTCCTATTCCTAGTACTAGGGTTGATAGATTTGTCAAATGAGATAACCCTAAGGGGGCGTGTGGTTCAATTTATCTCAAACTCCCTTGTGAATGTTATTGAAGTTAATGCGGATTTCCTCGTTTGGTTAGAGTTACAAGATTACCATAAAAAAGACAATACCACCTCCGCCCTGTTCAAAGGTTCCCATTGCAAAATGGCACGATTATTTAGACAATAATTAAATATACTAATTGAGTATATTTTGAGAAATACTTCTGATGGGTATATAACATAATGGGTTATTGGTGATAACTGTGATGTTATAGATGTATTATTTTTAATATTTGATGATTAAATTGTTGTTCAAGGGTGTTAATTATTTCCTAAAATAGAAAGTGGGAACCTTTAGCTGGGACGTCCAAAAAAGGAAAGTGAAAACCTTTGAATGGGATGGGGGGAGTATGAGATACCAATGTTTGGCTCAAGTTTTAAGATTACTGGGATATTTAGTTCAAAATACAGGTAATGTACTGGACAGTTAACAAGATTACTGGGTTATTTACTGAACAGGCCCTTGGGGAATAATTATCAAGCAATGAATCTATACCATTGTGGATTAAAACTCTCTCATTTGTAAAATTGAGTGATAATACTTTGTAGCTGAGAATTACGTACACCACTACTTTTTATGCAGGTGATCTAATGAAACTTTTAGATGTATCATTAGAGGACAATGTCTTGCCAACTACATATGGAAAGCTACAGCCTCCTCTTGGGAAGCATCGTCTTAAGGTATTTAACTGTCTCACTGAGAAAATGACTTACGCAATTGGAGATTTTCTTTTCAAGCTGTGTGCTAGAATTAGCCAATTTTAGAAAGCAGAAATTATGGAATCTTTATATAAAATGTTAATTAAAATGACGATTGACACTGTCTTTTATATATGCTCATAAAGCTGTACATTAATTAACCACAACACAACGTTTTCTTTTTCGTGCAATCACGCCTATATGTAAGCACAAGGAACCATTTTCTTTCAAATGCAGCACTAGATAGTAAACTTTTTACTATAATAGTAATAATAACATCAATATTTTTATATTATCATTCTTATTTCTTATATCAGTGGGAGATGGGGTGAAGGAAGCCGCTCTTTGTACCCCTAAAGATGAGGGAAACTGCACCTAAAATCATCTCATTGCTTTAAGACAGTCATTACCCCCATCCCTCTATTCCTTTTTTAGCTGTTATGGTGCATACAATATTTCTCAAATATGACCTCATCACATAAATCTTCAGATTGTGGAGTTTATTTCAGTTCTAGTGAGTGTTAGCAGTGAAGCTGCTGAGAAGGAATTGATTGGTCTTGGTGCAGTAAAAAAAATTTTGGATTTGTTTTTTCAGTAAGTTACTCTCTTCACTTCATCTAGTCGTGATATGGATGAATGAATTTCTCTTGCCTCAACTTGAAAAATTGTATAGGTACCCGTACAATAATTTTTTGCATCACAACGTCGAACAAATTATAGTAACTTGCCTAGAGAGCAGGAATCCTCAGTTTGTAGAGCATGTGCTTCATGACTGTAACCTTGTTGGGAAAATTCTTGAGGCAGAGAAGACCCTCACATTGACTGCTGATTCGACCAAGGTACATGTGTCATGTGTGTTACAGCATTTTCTTGTTCTGTTTGTTACCTGTTAACCATTCTTTTTGTGTAGATGTTTTTTTATCTCCATATTAAGTTTTCATTGAATGGGTTTTCAGCCAACAGTCCCTGTTGAGGGGAAATCACCACCACGGATAGGGAATATGGGGCATATTACACGTTTAGCTAACAAGCTTATCCAACTGGGAAACCATAATGACAACATACAATCCTATCTTCAGGTTTATCTGGTTCTCCTTTTAAAACTTTTAATATTATTAAAGAAAAATTGATAGTAATAATCCCAACTATTGGCGGTCCGCTCATAATAATCCCAACTTTTGATTATTACAGAATAATCCCAACTTTAGGAACCTTCCGCCAATAATGGTCCCTATGAATAAATTATTGTAGTTTCTAAAGTGGATGAGATGAGATATAACAAGTAATCCCTATAAATAATCTCAACTTTTAATTTTTACGCTTAATTTCTATTTAAAATTCACTTTTTATAGAGGTAATATATGGTCATGGACCATTATTGGCAGATAATCTATATAGTTGGGATTATACAAAAATAATCAATAGTTGGGGTTATTTTCAGCGGAACAGCAATAGTTGGGATTATTATTTTCAATTTTTCCTATTTTGTCAACACTTTACTAACTCATGCCATCATGTTCTGGTCATGTTCTTCCGCCCACGGCCCTTTCATTCTATTGTCTAACCTGTTTAGAGCTGTGGATGAACCATAAACACTTCCTCATGCCATTGTAATAATGTTTTGTGGAGTGTAGATAACAACAACATCCAAGCCTTAGTCCCACAAGATTTTGGGGTCGGCTAATATACATTGATACATGATATCATAGTCAAAAGGAAAAGAAAGATAAAAAGATAAGGTATGATAAAAAAGATAACAAAAAAGATAAGATATACATAAAAATGATAAGATAAAAAGGATAAAAAGAATATATGTATATAAAGTAAAATGATAAAAGAATAAAAAAATTAAGATAGATAAAGAAGATAAAGGGAAAAAAAGATGATAGAGATCCATCCACCATGAAACATAATTTTGTCTTATGTCTAAGCTCTCTTACTCTTAAGAAATGAATTTGGCAGGAGAATAGTGAGTGGGTTGATTGGCGTACAGACGTCCTACAAAAACGGAATGCCGTTGAAAATGTTATGCAGTGGGCATGTGGGTAAGTGCCATAACATGTTCTTTTTACCCTGCTCATTTATTTTGCATTGAGCTTCTAGCTACAAAGAGATTTATTGCATGTTTGGTAGGTATAAGTACCTACCTTCTAGCTTTTGTACTATTTAAATTGTTTCTAAAAGCTTCTAGTTGTATGTTTGGCATGACAATATTTTTGTTCAAAATAAAAGTTCTTTTTTGAGAAGCTACACCGAGTAACACTTTATAGAAAGTTTGTAGCTTTTAACATTAATAAGTCACAATTGCTTGTTATACCAAACAGAACCTAATCAAACAATCGGCTTTTTATCAAACAGCTACAACATTTTTCCTTTAAGATCTTTTCAGTCACTAAAAGCTAAGTTATGCCAAACATACCCGTACCCACCTCATCTTGGTATCATTTTCTTAACTACCATGACAATGTTCTTTTTACATATGCACTATGGCTGTGTTTAACCAGAAATTGGAACATGATTTAGTGCTTAATGGAAATGATTATAGAAGGGAGGGAGTAGGAGTAAAGTAATAATAGGGGAAGGTTGTATTTGAAACTTTGAATGAGAGGAAATGAAGTGAACTGGTGGTAAATGGATTCTTTGTTGCTAACAAAGATGCTTACCAGCAATGCCAATCTACAACTTTGCATTCTTGACTTTTCCTTTAAATATGGTCTCGTTTCTATTGCAGGAGGCCTACAGCTCTCCAAGACCGCATGAGGGATAGCGATGATGATGATTACCAAGATAGGGACTATGATGTTGCTGCTTTAGCAAATAATTTGAGTCAAGCATTTCGATATGGGATCTATAATAATGACGACATGGATGAGGTGCTTGTCATCACTTTTATTGTTGAAACTCGCTGTATGCATAAGTTCTTTTGGGACATTTCATTAGATGCAAAGTGTTTTAGGACTAAAATGTTTTACAATCAGAGTAGTGATAGGTATCGATCCAAACAGTGGTATATTCAATCAAGGAATTCTGAGAAATCCTAAGATATTCTTAGGTAATTACAAAGCAACGGAAGAAACGTAATAGAAGAAGTATAGAGGCAAGTTCGAGAGTGCCTATCTCTCCCAAGAGTCCCAGTTCCTATTCTCAATTTCTGCCTCCTTTCTTCTACGCCCCAACTCATATTTATTATGTTCCTTATGGGCCAGCCCACTGCTATTTAGTTACAGGGCCTAAGCCCCTTTTATTATACACTATTAAAAGACTATTATTCTTATCACTAACATTATCTAGGTCCCTATCAATCTATCATTACTCCCCCCTTTGATAACCACCTTGTCCTCAAGGTGGGGAGTAAGAAACAGCCATGTCATTAAACTTCTTTCTCGTGCCTCTTCCTTCCCAATACTTCAGCTCGGATACATAAAGTGGCAAAATCTTCCCATTTGGACCGAGAGCTTCAGCAACGAGGTCACAATGATTGGTATTGGTAGTAGCTTGCTCAAGGTTGTTTGCACGAGAAGATGATGGACATGCAAAACTCTCATTCTGCTCTTGATAACCATTAGTCATCATCTTATTTGATTCCGTGTAACAGCCATTCTCATTTTCTGTTGGCTGTGAAAGACTTTCACCATTGTTCCTCTCATATGGCTTCTCTTCAATTCCAGCAGTTCTGTCAAGGTAAGAAACAATATCAACCTCTATTTCCTGGACTGCCTCATACCTTCCATTCAATGCCGATGAAACTTGATGCAAACTTATATATAAATTCGGCCAATGAACTTCATCCGAGGCATCCTTTGCACACAGAATATACAGGTTGACCGCATTCTTTTGCTCTTGTCCATGAGCTCTTCAGCCTGTAACATGTGTGCAGGTTCCCTTGTTACTCCCAAAAGGATAACATATTGAACTGCTGACAGGTTTAGTCCTGAGCCACCAGCAAGTATTCCAATATTGGCAATCTTAACCTCCTTACTTAATGTAGTCACACGCGTCTCCAATGCACCAGAAATATACAAGAATTTCTTCAAAACAGTAAGATGCCCAACTAACTTCCTCTTTGGTGCAACCTGATAACTTGAGTTTGATTCAGAGCTCGGATCTAATCCACACTCAGACTCGGAAGTAAAACCTTGCAAGCCATTGTAGAACCAAACAACACAACCATGCTTTTCAATCTTTGTTATCCATCCTTGTTTGATTTGTTTCTCTGTAGCATCAGTGTCTGCGCTGATGATTCCCTGAAACGTCTTTCCATCATTCCCTTCTATTTCCTCAGTTTCCTCGATGTGGACAGTCCCTGTAGAGCTTTCCCAAGTATTTGAACCAGTAAATTTATCAACGACAGGTTCATATTCCATGAAAATAGAGGATTGAGTCACCACAGCAGATTTCTCTCGCCCCTCATCATCACTGATGAACGTATCTTCAGAGAGAGGTTGCCGTGGCTTGCCAGACTCCTGCGACTCAGACAGCAATGGCGAACCGGAAGCTTCTTCTTCTGGTCGCATCATACCTTGAAGTGAACTGCTAGTGTATGATGAAGTCTGGGAACCTGGAGACACGGCTTGCAGAGAAGATTGCAAACTGGAAGAAGATATTGGTGAGGAAACCTGCGAACTGGTAGAAGCTGTTTGCGCTGGCGATGATATCTGTGAACGAATGAGGGAATGGACTTGCGATGACGGACTCTAAGGAGAAACAGTAGTTCACGTAGAAGATTGTGAAGCTGGTTCTCTGTCTTCCGACTGCGTGTAGGCTGTCAACGCCGAATTATGGCTTCCTTCAGAGCTTTCCAATTCTTCTCTCATTTGAGTTTCCCACCATGGAAACCAGGCTAACGCCCTCTCCATCGTGCCTACTGCTACTTTGACTTTATCTTTTTCCGCAGTAGCCTTGAGACGGAAATACCCTTCCATCCTAACAATCCAACTGTCAGCATCATCCCCATTAAACAACGGTAAATCAACCTTTCTTCCGGTACGAACAGGCCTTCTATTGCTATCGCGACCCACACTCGAACGAGGTTGATCGGAATTACCGTCCTATGCAGCTGGACTCTTAGATTCTCTTGTTCATTGATGTTGAAAACTGCGCCAACTTCCCCTGGTCTTATCGTGATCCTTTTTCAAGAGTGATTCCGTCACCTTTCATATTTCCGCTCTCATCTCGGTAAAGTTCCGTTCCAGTTCATTCGTCCGATTCTCCATCTTTTCTAGTGTACAGATTACTCCCATTGATTCACGTGCTCTGATACCAATGATAGGTATCGATCCAAACGGTAAAAACGGTAGTATATTCAATCAAGGAATTCTGAGAAATCCTCAGATATTCTTAGGTAATTACAAAGCAACGGAAGAAATGTAATAGAAGAAGTATAGAGGCAAGTTCGAGAGTGCCTATCTCTCCCAAGAGTCCCAGTAACTAAATATCAGTGGGCTGGCCCATAAGGAACATAATAAATATGAGTTGAGGCGTAGAAGAAAGGAGGCAGAAATTGAGAATATGAACTGGGACTCTTGGGAGAGATAGGCACTCTCGAACTTGCCTCTATACTTCTTCTATTGCGTTTCTTCCGTTGCTTTGTAATTACCTAAGAATATCTGAGGATTTCTCAGAATTCCTTGATTATATATACTACTGTTTTTACTGTTTGGATCGATACCTATCAAACAGGCACAAGAATCTTGGGAAGAACCAAACAGTACAATTTTTTTTTTTTGTAAGTGTTTTCTTTCTTAACCTGAGCTGGTCTATTCTGTTGCTTGCAAGTTAACAATTAAATCTCTCTAATGGTGTTCCTTGGCTCGTTAAATGTAATGACAGTGTTAATGTCACTCATTTTGATGATTTTCTAGTCTGTTTAAGTGATTGCAACTTGCAAGGCAAGTCAGCTTTTCCTATTTCATTTTGTGCTTCATGAATTGTCAACTACACCTTGATGCTTCCAGTATATTTAATTTATATTCATGCTATTCTCAATACTTAAAAAGCTTCTGTGATTGACAACAAAATATTTAATTGACAACATAAGTTTCAAGCTTTCATGTGATTGTAACATTTTTGTTATAAAATGCAGGCGCATGGTGCACTTGAACGTGATGATGAGGTATGCTTTGACTACTATCTACTATTGAGGTGTGATTGTCTAAGTAGCACCGGGACGGAAACGGAAACGGGGACGGAAACGGGGACGGGGAAACACTTAACTCAAAATATCAGGAAACGGGTACGGCAAGGAAACGTCAAGCTAAAAATTAATTTTTTTTACTAATATAAGTAATGTGTATGTCCAACAAATAGAAAATAATTAAACAAAACATACGTCCTTGTTATAATCCAATCTCCATACGCAATAAATAAAATTTAAAAAGTAAATGTTTCATTCACTTGTGCACCATCACTAACTTCTGAAGTACGTTCCATATTTGAGGATAAAGAAAGGTCCATAGCACTTACTAGAACTTATAAACAATTGAAATTGAAACAGCGAAGCCTCTCACCCAAAAACCCCTTGCCTTCTCTTCGGACCCGTCCAGTGAACCAGCACTCCCAGTCCAGGCGATGATGATGGTCTCTGTGTCAGCAGACCAGCCGTGAGCCGTCAGCCGCCCAGCTTGTAGCAGTCCAACGGTTGAAGCAAATAACCCTTACGCAAGAGCCAAACTTCGGTCGCAGGTATTTTTCACAAAGAAGACATTAAACCCGATCGATTGCCCAACCCTTTTCTTTAAAAAAAATTCAGAAGAAACGCGTCGGCCCACATGGATTGCCGTTTCCGAAACGTTTCCCCAACCCGGCCCAATAGCCCAAGACCTGAGAAACGTTTCCTTACGTTTCCCCTGCGTTTCTCGGCGTTTCCCAGCGTTTCGCGTTTCCGAAACGTTTCCGGGACGGAAACTTCCCCTCGATTCACGTTTCCGTGCTTCCTAGGTGATTGTTGCTAAAAATTAGAATGAAGGAATACTAGTTGACATTGATAGAGTAATTTTATTCATACACAAACCATTCAAATTATAGAAGATGAGAGAAGATGGGTTTGCATCGACAAAACATGCACCCTTCTAAAAATTACCAGAAGAGTGCATCATAAATTCATATACAAGCCCTAGAAGATAACAACAAGGAATAAATAAATAAAACAACAACATTACCCCATTGCTGCAAAGGCTCGCACCTACGGTGGGTAAGAGGGGTCAGATGTACGCAGTCTTACCCCTGTACTAGAGCACAAAGAGGTTGTTTCCGAATGATCCATGATGAAAATCGCGTAAAAAATGCATGAACCGACTGTTCCTTAACAACAAAGAAGTGCAGACACTTTAGTGAGTCATTTAGCTTTATTCCATCAAATTCCAAACCAAGAACAGTGTCTTTGGCCCCATTGGAAATGATGGAAAACAACAACAAATAAATAATTTAATACATATATAAATGCAAGGAACCAAAAATGTAATGGGTCTCATGTCTGAAACAGGTCATTCCCAAGATAAAATTTTAAAAAATGTAAATGTTTTACTGTTTTAGTCGTGTTGACAAAAGATTGTTTTTGTAAAAATAAATGTAATAGCCATTAGCCATAAAGTTTAATGGGGAAGCCCAAAGTCACTAATTACAATCACATGCTTCGTATCATTTATTAGTTTTCAAATGTGCATTGATAAAGCTACCAACAATAGTGATTTAGCATTAATGTTCTGATGTCAGCAAGGGAAATTGCCACTAAATAACAAATAGTATGTGCTCTAATGTTAGCAAGGGAAGTTGTCACTAAATAGTTATAGTAATTCAACCCACATATGGGCTCTCTATGATAGTAATTTCCAGGAAAGAGTTGAAGGTATGGATATTTATCTACAGTTTAGTCAGTATGAAAATCTAATGAAGAGACTTGCATATAGGTCTAAGAGAAGTCGGGTATGGAAAATTTGCAGAGTTAAGGGCAAATCTTGGCCTAAAGCTTTCTAGCTGTTTTACAATATACTGTTGGAAATGTTTTAATTTTTAAATAGTATTTTGGGAGTACGGTTAGAGATGTTTTATAAACTTTTTTTTTATGTTTCAGCTTATGAAAATGGTGCTTATTAATTTCAAGCATCCTAGTCTTTAACAAATAGTATGTTATGATCCTCCAGGATGTCTATTTTGATGATGAATCTGCTGAAGTTGTCATATCATCACTTCGTTTGGGAGAAGAGCAAGATAGGTGAGTGCAACTCTTGCAAAAAATCCTTTAGAGCCTGTATATATATATATATATACATATATATATATACATATATATATATATGTATACACACCCTCTCTCTCCCTCTCACACATATAGTGTGTGTGTGTCTGTATTTCTATATTAGGGTGTGCGTTTTTAAATGAAAAGTAGTCTTTTATTAAATTTTACATTTTTATCAAACGATAATGACACTTTTATCAAATTTTACATTTGGGTTTGCCCACTTATCAAAATGGATGGGGTGGCAGAAGTTGCTGTTAATTTCCAATTTTTCCATCACGACCCTTTTTCTATTTTCTCCTCTGGATCTTTTTTAACCCTCAAGTCCATAATCTAATGCTCATGCTCCTCTAAGGATCACTTCTATTTTATCTGATATGAGTGTGTAACTCTCTTCTGGTGCTAGTTTGATCAATAATGCATGTCTCATGACTTTTTTGTGTTACAGTGGGTCTCTCTTTACAAATTCAAACTGGTTTGCCTTTGAAGATGAAAATAGGATGGGTAGTGATCTACCTGGCCCAGTTGCTTCACCGTCACCAAACAGTACCAATGTGACAGATATAATCATTAGCCCCACCAGCATAAAAAAAGATGAGCCTACTGTCAATGAGGACGGTGACAATGAAGACGGTGACAATGAGTTGGCTGATACAGCTGCATCTGCTCCATCTAGTGAACCAAAAGAACCCACCGCTGAACCTAATATGATCGAGGATTCGCAAAACCCTGCACCTACCAAGGCTGGAAGAGAAGAATGGACTAATTGGAGAGAAAATTCTGAGACAACAACGCATATTCCTTCAGACACACCTGACCCTACTCCCGTTGCGGGTCCCTTGACCCTACCAAATGGCGCCTTTGAAGCAGGGGTGGTTGATACTGCAGAGTCTAGTGCGGCAGCTGCTGTTACAACCTCATCTACATTGTCATCAACCAACTCGGAAACCCTAAGCGTAGTATTATCTTCAGCCGAACCGGAAGAAGTGGACTCAAGGTACGGGAATTCTGGTCATACAGCTCCTGTTTAGATTCTAGTTTGTACTTACTGTGCCTGCTGGACTGAAGAGAGATATCCTCAGAAGTTGGATACAACTCATACAAGCTTGAAGAGGGTTTACTGCGTCCTGGAACCACCTTGTGTACAATGAATGCTGATATGATTCTTTTCCCGACATAGATTACACCCTGGTATTCTGCCTTTACTTTTTTACGCCTACAATTGTTATTAGTGCAAATTACTTTGTTGACGCCCCCTTTGATCAATATTCATTTCTCAAACATCACCTCTGGATTAGCAAGCAGACTGCTGCTGAACGCTATACACGCTGAAACAATATTATTGTTGTCTATATACATCACATAGTTTCCTCCTTTTCTTTGTTTCCCATGTTTCTATTCCTCTGATGTACTGCAGATTGCTATCGGTCTGTTATAATCGGTTTGTGGTTTCAATCGGTGCCACAAAAAAGGGGATTGAACCTCAATTATGAGATTCAAGATCAAATGATTATCATTTGTGTTTTTCAAATGCACACACTAACATCTTTATGCATTTAGTTTTTAGTTATAAAATTATCATTTGGGAATGAAGTTGTACCTGTTTTATAAGTTCCACTTTTTTACATTGATATTAGTGAAAGAAACGATATCTTGACTTTCCTACCTGGCCTTGGAATTGTTGGAATAAGCCAACTGTTTTTGCGAAATTGGTTGTAAATTGGCCAAGGTGTCGAATAAGTCAGAAAAAGTAGAAAGCTAGTGGAGTCCAAAAATGTGACATTTTATATGAGGTAAGCATGATTAATTGAATAAATTGTATTTGAGCATCTCAAAGTTGATCTAAAGGATACTTTTTGCTAGGGGTGGGCATAACGGTTTGGTTTAACCGAACCGTACCAAACCGATTAACCGAACTAAACCGAACCAAAACCGGACCATATGCAGTTTGGTTTGAGTTTGGTACTATTTCTTTCAAACCGTATTAAACCGAACAAAACCCAACCGAAACCGATAAAAACTAGGGGTGGACTCGGGCCGGGCCAACCGGCCCGGAACCGGACCGGCCCGCTACTGTGCGGGCCCGGACCGGCCCGGTCAACCGGTTGGTCAACCGGTTCGGGCCACCCGGCCCGGAGGGATACCGGTTCGGGCTCGGGCCCTGATTTTGGCGAACCGGCCCGGCCGGTTCGGGCCCGGTCCGGGCCGGATTTTTTTTTTTTTTTTTTTAATTTTTTTTAAATTTTGGGTTGGATTAGGTATTTTGGGCCATTTGAGATGGTTTGGGGTAGTTTGGGGTTGAGGGGGAGGGGTAGGGGGTTAAAAATGAGAACCAAAAAAAAAAAAAAAATAAGTTGGGCGGTTCGGCCCGGCCCGGCCCGGCCCGGTTTGGCCCGGAACCGGAACCGGAACCGCCCACCGGCGGTTCGGGCCCGGGCCCTATTTTTCTGGCCCGAGGCCCGGCCGGGCCCAGGCCCGAACCGGGCCCGAACCGGCCCGAGTCCACCACTAATAAAAACCGAACAAAACCGAACCGAACTAAAGAAACTCAAAAAAAAAATTCATACACACTGAATATTTGGTGGTTTGATTTGGGTTTACTTAAGTAAACTGTTTGGCAAACATTTGCTCAAACCGAATGGTTTGGTTTAAAACGGAAAACCCGTAAACCGAATTGAACACCGAACAACACACACACACACTTTGTATTTATCTTTGCTATTCATTTTTTTTAAGATATAAATATATTATTTAGACATCAAAATACATATTTAAGCATATACTCGTTAGGGATGGACCCGGGCCGGGTCGGGCCCGGGCCGAGCCTTGGACCGTCCGGGTCTCAGTTTAGAAAGCGGAGGCCCGGAACCGGCCCGGGTAACCCCCGGGTCACGGGTCGGGCCACCCGTCGGACCGGGCCTTTTATTTTATATTTTTTTTTAAATTATATATTATACAAATTCTTATTAAAAATAAAATTCAAGTGCATTTATTTGAAATAGGAAGTACATTTGAGAATTGAGAAAAAAATAACAATATGAAATACATTTTCTAATAAATATCAATTGGGATTTCTGCCACCGTTGGTTGTTGTTTTGCCTTTGTCACATGGCATCATATATTTTATTGGCATCCCGACTTCGTGTGAACGCCCCAAGCAACACTCTTTCTTGCACCACTTGCAAGTTGCCCACAACAGTCAGGTCTTCGGGTCCTCCCACTTGTCAAAATTGTTTTGCATAAGAGAAGAATTACTTTCCATCTTTAAAATGGTAGATGTATAAGTAGGAATGTAGAATAATAAGAGAAGATGAAGATGAAGAAGAGTTGGAGAAGAGTTGGAGAAGATGTGTAGAAAAATGGTAGAAAATAGATGTATTTATAGATTTTTTTGAACCCCACTCCCCACACCACCACCCCCGGGACCCCCTGCCCCCCACCCAAAGCCCCAATGGCTATATAGCCGTTTGGGAGCTATTTTGTATTTTAAAATGTTTTAATTTTTTTTTTGAAAATTATACATATTGTAAAATAAGTTAATTAATTTAATGAATTAAGTAAAACTATTTTTACTTAGAAAAGTGGTTTGATTTATAATTTACAAATGTTACAAAATAGGTGTATAAGTATTTAAACAAATTATGTAAATGTATTTTTAATTTAAAAACAACCTTTAGATTTTAGAAAAATAATTTTTGAATTGATTAAGTTTACAAATTAATTTTATTGAATTGATTATTGAATAAATTTTTTTTGTTGATTATTGAACTGATGTACACAATAATATAAAATAATTCAAGTATATTTATTTCAAATAAGAAGTACAATTGAGAATTAGGATGAATTTAATAAATGTAATACATTTTGTAATAAAAAATCAATCGGAATCTCTGCCTTCGGTGGTTGTTTCCTCCATAAAGTGACGGGTGGGAGCGATGATCATTTTTTGAGTTCTTCGTTGGGTCTTCAACCAACCGTGGAAGCAAACTAGCGTCTCAAGAGAGCTCGGGCTTAACCTCGTTCTATAATCGGTTAGGACGTTGCCGGCTGCATTAAATTCTTGTTCCACGGCAACTGTTGATATCGGCATTGCTAGCACTTGCTTAGCCATCTTTGATAAAATCGGGAACGTTCTTTCATTATCCTTCCACCACTTAAGAACGTCAAAGTCATCCCCAACTTCATAATCAACATTCAATGTTAGATACAAAGAAAGCTCGTTAACTGAGCTTTGTTCAGTAGCGGGAGTTGCTCTACTTTTTTTCAAAAGAGAACCAAATGCAGATTTTAAAAGTGATTTTCCTTTAGATGAAGAAGATGTTCGCAGCATGGGAGGGGGTGCATTACCATATTGTGCATGAAATTCATTATACAATTGATGAAATAAATTACTAACCTCGTTGTATTCTTGTTTAGGGTCGATGAGATTATCATCGTACTCTTAAGTTGAAAAAAAAAGAAGCATAATAGTAATTTATACAAGTTCCCAAGTAAGCAGTTTTATAACGAGGATCAAGAACAAATGCAATACCATATATATGCGGAATATGTGAATAATATTTTAAAAACTTTTGTTTCATGAAATCACAAAAATAACTAACGTAAGCAGCATCAGAAAATTCACAAAAAGCGCCGGCGAGATTAACAGCTTCAATAAAAAATTCGTTTGCGGTAGGTTTATAAACATGACTAAAAGTTTGAGTTGCGTTATTAAAATATACCAAAACATTAACAATTTTTTCACAAGTGTCGATGTCAGCCGGGTTTATAATATAGTTACAAGATTGTCTTAAAAAAGCAGGAAAATGATCTTTATATCTAATAAGTACTTGAATTAAGTTATAAGTACTATTCCAACGAATAGACAAATCTTTAGGAAAAGCACAATAATTGACACGTCTATCCTTCAAATATTGCCGCCATTGCATTTTTAGTGGAGTGTTAGCCCAAATCAATTTAATTCCCCCCTTCACTACCTCCAAAGCATCTCCTAATGCCACTAACCCATCTTGCACACACAAATTTAGAATATGACATGCACAACATTGATGAAAAAACCTACCCATCAATGTAGAAGCACCACACAATTCACGCAATCTAGGTATAACAGCAGTATTATTACTAGCATTATCAAAACCTACAGCGAACACCTTATCAATCAAATTATATTCAATTAAAATACACTCAATGAGAATATAAATATTATCAGTAGTGTGACGATCATTGAATTCACGAAAAGCAAGAACACGTTTATGCATATTCCAATCATCATCAATATAATGTGCAGTAAGACCCAAATAATATAAATGATGATAAATATCCTCCCATATATCGCTACAAATACTAACACGTCCATCAAAGTTTGCGAAAAAATGTTTATAATTTTTATTTTTCCAAGTTATATTGCCTTATAACTTCTTTTTTAATCGTTTTGCGACTATAATTTCTAAATTGAGGATTTAAAGTACCTTGAGCATAATCTCTTAAAGCAAGACTTTCGGAAAAAATATAGGGCAAATTTTCTTCAACAATTAAATGAGACATACCAGTCAAATGTTTTTGATCATCATAGGAGAAATTACCAAAGGGTTGAGAATTTGCAAACCTCGATATTTGTGTTTGTTTCCTCTTGCCTTTGTCTATTTTCGCATACTCCACAAAGTGGGTGGACTTAAGATGCCTTGTCAGACTCCCGTATCCGCCAGAAGTTCCCAAGCTATACTCTTTGTTGCAATGATTGCAACTTGCGTACCATTTATCGGTATTTTTGTCTTTCCTTTTTGTAAAATTGTTTTCAATAATAGGAGATTTAGATTTCTTACCAATTTGGGTTGAACCGCCCTCGTTCTCTATCTCTTGCTCATCATCCGGGGTGCCGTGAGTCCCCTCGCCCCCCTCGTCCTCCTCCGCATCGTCATCCTCGAGCTCGTCTTCATCAATGGTTGTCGGGAATTGTTGTTCTTGTGCAAAGCGTGGATCATTTTGGGACAATGGGTTTTGTAGTTGCTCGTCGGACATCGCCATATCATCTCTCCGTTGGTAATCCGTTTCAAAATCATCTCGACTTTGAAAAGAAGACTCGGCCCGCGCTTTACCTTTGCCTTTGCGTGAAGTAGGACGAGTCGCCGCAATCTCCCTCTTGCGGTTGCGTTGGAGATTACCCATATCTACAGAATGTCTACCACGGACCATCTTTATAATTGAACAAATATTAAATGATATCAAATATTTTATATGAGTACAATAGTAATAATAAAATGTGACTAAGAAAACTATAGCAAATTCGAACTAAAATATGAGTATATCAAATGTAACAATTTGTTTTCCTTGAAAAAAAAAATCGAACTACTTCTAATTAATACTTTAATGAGCAATGTAGCAATTACCTAATATTAATATGAGAAATGTAACAATTAACTAGTTTAACTAATATTAATATGATAAATGTAAAAATTAACTAG